TCGCAGCCTTCCCCTAGAACCAACCAAACCTCTCCCATCTGCTGCTGCTGCTGCTGCTGATGCAGTTCAGTCTGCTGCTGCTGCTGCTCGCCCGCTGCAGTGCTATCACCCTGCATTTGTTGTTGTTGCTGTTGTTGGTGGTGCTGTTTCTGCTGCTGTTGTTGTTGCTGTTGTTCCTTCTGCTGTTGTTGCTGTTGCTGTTGCTCTTGCTGCTGTCGTTGTACTTCTTGTTGTTGCTGTTGTTGCTGCTGTTGCTGTTGTTGCTGCTGCTGTTGCTGCTGTTGTTGCTGTTGCTGCTGCAGAGTTATCTCCCGTTGTATGGAGACACGTAAGGGCAGCAGCTGCCACCTGAGGGGCAGCCGCCACAGCAGGCCCACCATTGGAGCTGCTGCTGCAGCAGCAGCAGCAGCAGGAGCAACAGCAGCAGCTGTTGTTGGTGCTGCTGCTCCAACCAGCCGTGCACATTGGGGACTTGTCTGCTGCTGCTGCTGCTGCTGACTCTCGTGCAGCAGCTCCCGCTGCAGCAGCAGCAGCAGGTCAGCACTAGCAGCAGCGCCATTCCTACTACTGCTGCAGCTGACTGGCACTCGGACTGCTGCTACCCTGAGTCCTCTGCTGCTCCCCTGCAGCACCTCATACTGCTGCTGCTGCTGCAGCTGGTGGCTGTTAAGAACATCCGAGACTGCCTGGTGTACGCGCATCTCCTCTTCGTGATGCAGCAGGTTTTCCTGCTGCTGCTGCTGCTGCTGCAGCAGCAAACGCACATACGCATCGGGTGGCAGCAGCAAGAAAGACGGAGGATCTGTAGGGAGCACCAGGCCATCCTTGCGCGCCTTGTGCACTGCAGCAGCAGCAGCAAGAGCAGCACCAGCAGCAGCAGCAACTGCTGTTGCTGCTGCTGGTCGCCTACGGGCTGCCGTGTATAGGGATCTACCTGTAGCAGCAGCAGCATGCAGCAGCAAACCTAAACGATCTTCTCTGCCCTCCGGCCTCCGCACTCTAAGGGGTCTTCGTCACTGCGCTGCAGCGAACAAGCTGCTGCTGCTGCTGCTGCTGCTGTTGCTGCTGCTGCTGAGTTGTTGCAGCTCGGGACCTACGACAACCAGCATCAGCATCAGCAACAACAGCAACGTAAGAGAGCTACTCATCATCCGCAGCAGCAAACCGCAACCGCCCCCCAGGCGCCTGCTCCCTGGTCTTCTGCTGCTGCTGCTGCTGCAGCAGCAGCAACTGCTGTTGCTGTCTTTGGGCATATCCGTTGTTAAAACAACAGATCTGAAGACAAAACAACAAAACAAAAGAGAAGTAACAACTGCAGCAGCGGCAAACTGCAGCAAACTCCCGCAGCAGCGGGTTGTGGGGCCGCGAGCACTCGGCAGCGCTTCGAGGCTCAGCAGCAGCAACAGAAGCTGCAGCAGCAGCAG